CCCCAAAACCCCAAAACCCCAAAACCCCAAAACCCCTTCTATTTAAAGTTCATTGATAATTCAATTTTTAAATAACTGAATTTTCATATTTTCCAAGTGAGGCATACTCTGGGCTGATTATTTACCAAAGGTAACATTCATAGGCCCTGTGGCGGCCTTTGGGCTATCCTCATTATCGTAACTATGCTCATGTCCCGAGGAAGCATTCGTAGACTGTTTCTGTTTGAATGGATTTTCAGCATTTCTTATGGTCTTCTTAGTTTTCAAAGATCTAGATTATGAATAAGCAATATTTTTCCAACGAAATTAAATATTCAACTTACAAAGCAGGGATCTTGTACTGTGCTAGCTGGCTATTAGATAGAGTACTATTCTGATACTTTAAACTCCTTTGGTCCTTCAGCTCAGATCAATTTTCTGTGGTAACCTCGCTTGTCCTTTCAGTGGGAAGGCTGCTGGAATCTTGCTTAACATCAAGGCTTCATTGCTTTCGGACTTCAGTGGTTGAAATTTTGCGAAGCCTGTTTGTATGATTCTCTTCTTCTAAATCAAGGCTGAGCTCTTCTTGGTCAGGGATTTGATCAATTCATCTCTGTAGTGCCATGAATTCTTCATTCAACTGCTGCTCAGCCTTATCTCTTACTCTCAAAGAGTCATCTCTCTGAGGAAGGAGATGGATATTATGCAAATAATGATTCTGATTGATCAGAATGCTTCTCTTACTACGTTGGCTAGTACTATTGGCTTCTTTAGACTCTTTATCATTTTTAGGCTAGACATAGATCAGATATTGACAGTTAAACACCTACTTCTTCATTGGTCTCTATTCTGTTCAGATAATTCTCCAAATTAGAGACATTCTGTGGATCTGGCTTCTTCATTAATTTCAACCGTTTAAAATTTGAATCATTTTTGGCATTTCTGTTGTGTATGGCTCCTCTCTTTTTCTTTCAGATCGCTAATCCAGCTGAGTCCTTAAGAGACATGCACTTAGTCATCTTGGGCTTTGAGTTATCCTATGTAATGACGTTAATAAGAGAGGAGAACAGATACATACGTTTGTAGTCTCAGCCTTGCAACCCTGGCTGTGATGTCTAACCAACTTAGCATCCTTACTAGCAGAGCCAGGCCTAGAGATTGCAGAGGCATCAATAATTATCCTTGGTCTGACAGCGCTCTTAATTCTCTTTTTCTTAGTCTTTTGGCACCTTTTCAGCTTGCTTTGGTTAAACTGGATCAATTGTCTATTTATCTTCCTCCTGCTGTTATCTCATGGCTGGAGTTTTACCTACACCAAAATATGTCAATGAAGGAGGAAACCTACTTTATGCTTTGATTCTTCAACTTTCAGCTTATTTTTCTTGAAGTTAAGCTTGGCCTTGATTCCTACCTCGCTGCCTTCTCGAAGAGGGAACATAATTTTTGCTTCTACGAATATCAAAATTAAAGTCTTACCATGCAATTTTTGGAAAAGATCTGACTTCGATCTAAGCAAGCCTCTGGGCTCTAACTCTCAAGTTTCACCTGGAGTTGAATTTTTATCCCTCAATTTGAGAGATTTGAGCTTATGGCTAATAGAAGGCCTCAAAGGAATCTTTTCAAGCCCAGCCATCTGGAAGGGAATATCTTCCATCATATTCACAGCTAGTCCTTTTGCTAATTTATTAATGTGGCTATATTTTCGTGGCCAGGCTTCATTTCCATTAAAGAAGGAAGTATCATCTTCTTGCTTTTCAATCGATTGGAGCCTCACAGATGCAATAGAGCTATTTATCTCGAAAGGATTTTGGTTATTTGTTCATACAGAGTTCATTTCAACAAAATTGAAATTACTCTTGACACTCTTATGTGAAGAACCTTGAAACTGCACACATAAATTCCTAGAATCACCAAATCTCTTCATGGTAGGACTCTGTGCACAGCTCTCAAACCCACTATGCTTCAGGTGCATTGAGGGGATTTGTCTCTGAGACCGACTCCTGGCTAGTAACTTCTTATCATGTCTGCCTTCACTCATGTATCTCTTTGGAAATTTATTAATTTTTTGAATATTTGAAGGAAGACTTTCTTTGCTCAGATTATAAGCCCGTCTTTGCCTCCGGCTCTCGACTCTATCCACAGAAAAAGTCTTCTGGTCACGCCTCTCTGTGTATCAATTCTTGGGAGGACTTTTGTCCTGTAAAAATCAGGAAGGGAAATTTTTGATCTTCATTAGTCTAGCTTGGTCAGTCACTCTTCTCTTTTGGGAATTAGAGTTCTCCAAGTAGTCATGAGATTGCTTTCAGCCACCCAAAAAGACTCGATGGCTCTTACTACGCTGATTAAAGATATAACTTCTTCAAGAGTTGTCTGATCTATTTGTAACAATGGGTTCCTGGAGCCCATATACATCATCATTTTCTAGCATTTCAAAAATTAATTTAATTGTTGGGGTTTTGGGGTTTTGGGGTTTTGGGGTTTTGGGG